TCTGGGCATTGCACTCCGCCGTTGCTTGCTTTGCTTCGCCTCGCTTTTGCCTATTTTCCCCTCGTCTTCGTGGCCTTCAAGCTAAGCTTCTGGGCTGCTCCACACGACCTCGAGCCAGACGCTCTGGACTTCGTGGTCGGTGCCAACCTTTTGAGAATAACTAGATTCCCTTGTTTGTGGACACCTTTTTCTTGAACCACTTCACTGTGCCCTCGCCGCCGAGCAGTGCCTTGTTGGAGTGACCTTTGAGGGTACATAGACCCACCTTTTGCTTTGGGCCCTACCATTGTTGCGCAACTTCACTTTCGGTCTAAGACCACCTTTTCTTTGGAGAGCTTCAGAACTTGCGGAGCTCCTTGAACACCTTGCAGCAGCCTCACTTTTGTTTTTGGCCATTTTGGCCGTGAAGATGACTTCAGCCGAAGAGTCCGGCACCAGCTCTTGGTACCGGGTGCCGACGTGGTCGGGCAACCCGGCGGAATGGCGACAGTTCCGCCGGGAGATGAACTGGTGGATGGCTTCGCTGGATGAAGAATCCTGCAAGAAGTTCAATGTTGCCGCCCGATGGGCACTTAGACAATATGGTGTGGTCAGGGCTCGTTGTGAAGAATTCGATCCCCAGGATCTTGAAGGGACCAGGGAAGAAGCCATGACCGATCCTGACACCGGCGACAAAGTGATTCGGGTTGCTGCAGACCCTTTTGCAGGCATCAAGAAACTCATGACTGCCTTGGAGGCCACGGTTGGGAAGACAGCTTTGGATAGAAAGGGAGAACTCCGATCCCTTTACTATCAAGAAATCAAACGCAGCCCTGGAGAGAGAATCTCAGCATTTTGCACGAGATTCCGGACCCTTGCAGCTGAGCTCAAGCGGGAAGGCATAGTGATGCCGGAGGAGGAGTTAGGCTGGATGTTGAAAGAACGTTTGGGACTGGATGCAATCAGGAAGCAGTTGCTGGAGACAGCCTTGGCAGGTCGGGAGGACTATGATGTGGTCGAATCAGAATGCCTTCGTCTGTTTCGAGATTTGCACTCCTCCGACCCTTTGAACAAGAGCAGACCTTTTGATAAGGCACCACTACTCCAGCGTTTCCTACAGTCCCATGACAGACACAGCTCCTCTTCGTCCTACAGGCCTTCGACTACAGCCAGCTCGACGGCTCCCTCTTCTCGCTCCTTCCGGACTCAGAGCTCTGGTTCCAGCCGGCCACCTTTCAAGCGTTTTGGCCAGCAGCCTCAACCTCGGCAAGCCTTGATTGCCGAGGCCCCTGAAGAGGAAGGCCAGATGGAGGCGGAAGATGAAGAGCTGATTCCAGACGATGATGGTCAGGGTTACTCTCCTGAGAACCTGACGATCGAAGAAGTCCTCCAGACCGAAGCTGAGCTTCTTGCCCAAGAGCTGCAGGAGCTCGAGACTGAAGGTTGCGACACTCGAGTGCTTGAAGATTTGGAGAGCGGCATGGAACAGGCCGCAGAGAGTCTGTTGACAATGCGTGAAGCACGCACCAAAATAGCTGAGGTCAAGAAAGACCGTGGATATGGAAAGCCTGGCCAACCGGCTCCTCTTTCGACGAAGCCCCATGGCAATCAAGTCCCTCGCCAAAAGAGCGCTACAAAGTGCTTCGATTGTGGTGAGATGGGACACTGGGCTGGTGATGCAGGCTGCAAGGCCCCTGGTGCTGGCCTGGCTCGACCCAAAGGAAAGCCTAAGAGCCAGATGACGAAGCAGGTCCGTGTCACCGAGACCCTGAATACTGAACATGTGGCTCCTGAAGAACCTGATGACATGGGCCACGAGGTCATGACAGTGGCCGCCGGCGATTCATGGGATCGCCCATTGTTCGAAGTCCTCACGCAGCACCATACCGACCCCAAGAACACTCCACGTCTCGCACAAGACAAAAGATTCGTTGGAGCTTTGGATAGTGCTTGCAATAGAACATGTGCAGGTTCCTCATGGTTGGCCTTCTACCTCCAAGCCCTTGAACGTGCTCCTTCCTATATCCAGAACCTCATCATCACCAACCCCGAGAATGAGTTGTTCAGGTTTGGAAATGGTGGTACCCAAAGAAGCACCGTGAGGTACAGACTCCCTATGGCCCTGGGTTCGACTTTGGTTTTGGTGTGGGTGTCAATAGTGCCAGTGCCGTCGTTGGGGCTCCTTTTGGGAAGAGACTTTTTGAGCGCTATCGGTGCGGTCCTTTCGTTCGGCCGCAAGCTACTGAGAGCTGACTTGGTGGGTGGCGAACTTTTGGAGTTGGGTCAGCTGGCCGCAGGCCACTTCGCCCTTCCACTCCAGCCACGCCAATGGCCTCGTCCGGACTCCCAACGCTGGCGGAAACTTGGACAAGACGGCATAGTTGAACTTCAGTTGAACAGTTTTGATTTTTGGAAGAAACAGTTGCAATTGAAGATGAGTCATTTTGAAGTGCCTTTTGAGTCAACCTCCGAAGCACCGCATGAGCACCTTGTGACAGAGCATGCGATCCTTGCTGCGACATCGGCCGGGGCTCAAGCTATGAAGGTGGCTCAAACACGTCCTTCAGCCCCGACGACATCCTCTTCGACGACCTTTCGAGACCTCGCAGGATCTGTGGATCGTAATGGAAGCGGCCCAGCACTTCGACCTGACCGAGAACGACTACACGAAGGTGGTGCTGCGCTGGCGGCGAATGCTTCTCCGCCTTCGCGCAAAGGCCGCTTGGCACGCACATGGCTTGCTCTTGTGGCTGTTGCCTCGTCCGCAGCTGCGGTACGCGCCCTTTCCGTACCCCAGCATCAGCCATACCAGACATTGGCAAGAACAAGCCGAATCTATGACCCTCCAGAAGCCAAAGGCATTGATGGTCAAGCACTGGCAGCGAGCTCGAACCCAAGAACCGTCAGTGTACACGACCAAGAACCTCCTGGACTTGGGACAATTCAGGAACCGTGCTGGCCTCAACTTCGCCTTCATGGAGGACAACGTGTTGCAAGGAATGCTTGCGGCACGCGCCAGCAAAGGCCTGACGGCCCAATTGAAGCGGGATGCCATTCAGGAAGCCCAACTCGAAGCCGAGGCCGCTACCAAGCGTGGAGAGAAGCACGACATGGTGCGCTCCCTCATCGGCCCAAAGGGAGGCCTGCCAACGTTGAAGGCAGACCTGGTGAAACTGGCTTCACTCCTGAACATCCCCGTCCAGACTGGAATGACTGTGGAAGATCTCAAGAAAGCTTGCCGCCCCTTGGTTGCCGAGATCGCTCAAGAGCCAACTCCCTCGAAGGCAAGTGGATCTACCAGTTCAACGGAAAGACATGTCCCCGAGACGTCAATGGCGAGACCTTCTCAAGCGCCCGAGACAATTGGCGCAAAGGCCAAGGCATCTCCTGGAGTGACCGCTTAAGAGCTACAGGAAGTCCTCACCATGCAGGACCACAAGTTCCAAGGGATGCTGAACCAAGTGCTCCAGAGCATTTCGACCCTGCACCAAGCATCGCACCTGCCGGGACCTATGACTTCCGGTCCGATGGAAACCGAAGCCACCATGGACTTCGGCTGGACCCAAGACGAGATTCAACAGATGAACCGCGACTACTACCAGGACGACTTGGAGTGGCGCCAGGCCAATGGAATTCCTCCTCGCGACCAGTGAGACCGATGCTCGAGCTGGAGACGAATCCTTGGAGGATACATCAGGCGGTGAAACCTGGTCTTTCGGATGCTTGGGAGCGTCATGAAAGAGACCGTCGCCTTGTGTCGCTCAGTGCCAAGGAAGTGAATGAAGTCTATGAGGAGCAGTGGCATCGAGCGATGGACCACTTCCAGAACGAGATCTTTGTCACCACCCTCACCGTTGGCGATGAGAAGTCTTTTCAGTCCCATGCCATGTCTGAGAATAGGTTGATTTCAAAGAACCCCGACCTTGTTGAGAATGACCGCTTCCCCAAGACCTTTGTCACTGAGGTCTACACAAACACAGAGCGAGTTGCGCAGACGGCTCGCAAACGAGGACATCGAGTGGGAGCCTCAATGAGCTTGGAATCAGGATGGAACTTTCTCCGTCCACTGGATCGCAAAGCGGCCAGAGCCGTCCTGAAGCGTGAAAGTCCTTTCTTTTTGGCGCTGGCATTTCCTTGTTCCTTTTGGAGTGTGTTACTCAACCTCAACCCTCCGAAGAATGGCACCAAGATGTATGAGGAAGCAATCACCCTCTTGCAGTTCGCCCTCCAATTGGCCAAGGACCAGAAGAGTCGTGGTTGTCACTTTGTTTTGGAGAACCCTCAATCCTCTAGAGCATGGACCCTGGAAGAGATGCAAAGAGCCTTGGAGCAACTTGAGGCCCGTTGTGTAGTCTTCCACCAATGCCGATTCCGCTTGAAGAACCAGGCGGGTGATCTACTTCGGAAAGCTACGAGGATAGCCACTTCGAGTGATGAGGTCCTTTCCCAACTGGACGGCATGAAGTGTCTTGGCAATCACCCTCATGGTCACATCATTGGGGGAAAAGCTGTTTCAGAGCCCGCTGGCCACTATCCGTGGGCCCTCGCAAAGGCCCTGGTGGTTGGCATGGAAAAGCAGTTTGAAGCTGACTTCAAAAGACCACACAACATCCTTGCCATCGAAGACGGTGAGGAGGCTGAAGATGAGACCGCCCTGCCGATTGACATGAACCTGAGTGACTCTGATCAGGAGTCCACTGAAGCTGCCACTGGACCCAAGGTGTCAGCTGCTGTGAAGCAAGCTCTTCGACGCCTACATGAAAACACGGGCCACCGATCTGGCCGTCGCCTAGCCAGAGCACTGGCTATCACTGGTGCCCCTCCGGACATCATCCATGCTGCTCGTCACCTCAAATGTTCAATTTGCGACGAGCGGAAGATCCCAAAGGCCAGACGGCCTGCTACCTTGCCACTACCCAAGGATGTGGGCGACCAGGTCCATGTGGACCTCTTTGAGATTGAAGACATTGGCGAAAAGCGCTTCTATGTGATCCATGCCATTGACTATGTCTCCAGGCTGCAGTTTGCTGAAGTTTTGGAAACAAAAGGTTCGAGCATGGTGGAGCGCTTCTTCAAGACCAGGTGGCTACCCATCTTGGGAGCACCAAGAGTCCTGATAGCAGATCAGGGCAAAGAGTTCGTGTCTGCTGAGTTTGAAGAGTTCTGCAGTTCATGGAGCATCTACCTCCACCACACCGCGGTCCAAGCCCCTTGGCAGAATGGTGTATGTGAGCGCGGTGGCGCTATCCTGAAGGGCATTCTTCGTTCGTGCATCAAGGCTCATTCGGCCTTGGGAAAAGATGATGTTGAACTTTGTCTCCAGGAGGCAGTAAGCGCCTACAACTCGGACATCAACGACGCTGGTGTCTCTCCTATGCAAGCTGCCTTTGGAAAGCAACCCCGGATGCACGGAGATTGCCTTGGTGATTTTGGTCGCCGCTTGAGTGAGCATGGACTCATCGACTCTCGGCCAAGTTTGGCCAGACAAGTTGCCATGCGAGAGACTGCTCGCTTGGCGATGGTACGCCTTCATTTTTCCAAAGGCCTTCGACGAGCTGAACTAGCCCGCTCTCGAGGACCGACGGCAGAGCATGGCCTATCTCCTGGAGATATCGTCTACTTCTTCAGACAAACTCGGTTCAACAACCGAACAGCTGCATCCAAGAAACGCCTCAGTCTCAAGCGATGGCATGGCCCTGCCCTCCTCGTCGCCTTGGAGGGCAATGTGAATGGATATGTGAGTTTCAGAGGACAACTGACCAAGTGCGCTATTGAGCATTTGAGACCAGCCAGCTCCCTGGAACAAGTTGCGAGTGAAGTATGGCAAGATGCCATTCAGGAAGTCATCGATGCGGCATACCATGATCGACAGATACCAACGACCTCCTCATCTACAACCACCTCGGCTGAACCCGAAGCACAGGGTGGACCGATGACGGGAGTGTCTCTACCTGTTGAACCTGTTCCTCTTTCGGCCGGACCTGAAGAAGCTCCTGCCGATCTACCACCTTTACATCCTCAAGAGTTTGTGCAAGCCCTCGGCAATGCTCAAGGTGGTCCTATCTCAAGAGGATGGTCTCGGCATACTTCTTCTTTGCCAGACTTAGGTACATCTCCATTTCCTGAAGCTGTACGAGTTGCCTTTGAACAGAGACGGCAGAGCGTTTCCAGTGCCGCCCCAAGTGCTAGCGGCGAGTCACAAGCTTCCAAGAGGCCTGCTGAACTGGATGCTGAGCGCTTGCGTGAAGAAGCTCTTCAACCAGACCCTGTTGCTCCAACTCCGGTTCAACCTCCAGATGAAGTTCCTGATGAAGCTTCCGAAGCCCTGAGAGTGACTCATGAAGTGATGGAAATGGAAGCCTATGCCAATGTGCATCCGCTCCGTCAGATCCAGATCATGGCGGAACAGGATCGTCTGAATCCCTTGGAAGCCAGAGTCCGAGACCATGGGACATGGCGTGGCAATTGGCCTCTCCCCTCGAGGACAGGATTCAAACGACGGCAAATGCTGAAGCAACTTTGGCCCCTTGGCAATGATGATGCTGCTCAGGAAGTGCTTGCAGTGCTCACTGCTCGTAAGGAGCATGTATGGAGTCACATGTCGGACTTTGAGAAAAAGGAGTTCCGTGAAGCAGCAGCCAAAGGATGGTCAGTATGGGTTGAAAATGAAGCCATCGAACCTCTTCCAGATGCCGAAGCTGCCCGCATTAGGCAGAAGTTGAAGACAGAAGGTGAAAGCCACCGCATCTTGGTTCCTCGCTTCGTCTATGTGGACAAGAATGACGGACTGAGGACGGCAGACCGGGACCTTCCACTCAAGGCTAACGCCAGGCTGGTCGTCCCCGGATACCAAGACATTAGTGCATATGGCCTTCGCTGTGATGCTCCAACAGCGTCGAGAACTTCTCAGCATCTTTTGCTGACCTTTGCCGCCAGTATGAAGTGGAAGCTGGCAAGTGCTGACATCAAGTCGGCATTCATGAAAGGTGAAGAGTTTGGCCCCAATGAACGCATCCTCTACCTCGCCAACGTGAAGACCAGAGCACCTGATGAGCCACGCCTACCATTCTCGGAGGCAGGCTTATGCCGTGTGAAAAAGGGAGTATTTGGCTTAGCTGACAGCCCTCGTCGTTGGTATAAGAGGTTATGCAAGTCAGTACAACACCATGGTTGGCAACTTTCAGCTCTAGATTCGGCCATGTGGTTCCTGTGGGAAGGTTCCAAATTGGAAGGCATCCTCATCTCCCACGTGGATGACTTGCTACTGGCCGGAGGCCCTCGTGCGCACCACACCTTGCAATTGCTGGGTGCCGAACTTGGGTTTGGTTCCACCTCCACCGGAACCATAACCTATTGTGGAAAGAAGATTGAGCAAGCTGAAGATTTTTCAGTGAAAGTTTCCATGGAAGAGTACCATAGCAATCTTCAGCAGGTGCGCATCAACCCACTTCGAAAGAAGAATCCAGAGGCCACTTTGATGCCTGGGGAACAACGCCAGCTCAGAGCTCTCCTCGGGAGTTTGCAGTGGCTGGTAGCGCAAGTTCGCTTTGACTTGCAATTTCAGTTGTCGACATTGCAGGGTGCTTCCCAGACCATCGAGACGTTGATCCGCGCTAATGCCTTAGTTAGAAAGGCAAAGCTCCACGCAGACTTCGCGCTGCACTTCAAGCCCTTGGACATGAAGAATGCTGGGATCCTCGTTGTTTCTGATGCCTCGCTTGGCAATGTGACGAAAAGCGGTAGTTCCCACGAAGCAGCCATCAAGAAGGTCTATAGTCAAGCCGCCTACTTTGTCCTCATTGCTGACGAAAACCTCATGAGCGGCAGAGAAGGCAAGTTCACAGTGTTGGACGCCCGGTCTCATAGACTGAACCGGGTATGCAGATCGACATTTGCCGCAGAGTTGCTGGGCATTGAGGAGGCGCTGGATGCCGGGCAATATTGCCGCGGCGTGCTTGGCGAAGCTTTCGGTCATCCACTCGACCGGAAGCCCTTTGACCTTAGCACGGATTCCGTGCCCCTGTTGGTTGTCACCGACGCCAAGGATGCATTCGACAAATCCTGCTCAGAAACGCCGAGCTATGGCAGCCAAAAGAGTTTAGCTTTCACCATAAGCTGGATTCGTTCAATGCTGGCTCGATGCAACACGAGCATGCGTTGGACAGCAACAGAGAACATGATCGTAGACTGCGGCA